ATATATATATATATATATATATATATATATGTTTCATTGAATATGACCGCATATTCTGTATTTATTATTTTCTGGTTTAGGGCTTCTATCCCTCTAACTATTTTCTTAGCATCAGGGATTAATTGAAATAGGAGTTCTCCAAAACTCATTTTCGTACTTTTAAGGTGAAGAAAAGAAGTGATTTACTATAGAGTGTATTACACTTATTTGTATAATTTGCACGACGTTTCGAACCTCCATGGTTCATTCTCAAGTGAACAGATCTTACAATACTAGTTGATTTTATACCCGCATTAGGTCAGGTGATAATACAATGAAGGTGAAAACATGGGGGGATACATAAGGGATAAACATAGGGGCTGCAGAAGGCTTATTGGCCCATACGAGGCATCTCCTATCTAAACACAAAGATTAATCCAGTGTAATTGGCCTGTTATGTTGGACATTGTCTTCTGTGTTGGCATCGATATGTTCTTGTCTTGTCCTTACTCTCATGGTGGGTAGAGTAAATAGTTCCGTGATTTGGGTGTTCATGGTAGGTCGCTCTATTCTTATGTGAATTGCCTCAAGAATTTGTAATCTTCTTGAATCTTGGGTTTTGTCTATTATGCAAGTATTCTTGTTCAACATTTCTCTTGTTATTTTCTTCATGCTACAAACATTCCTTAAACATTTCCATAATCACCGTGCACGTTCGAAGGACAGACTATTTAAATTACATAAAAGTCAACTATAAATTAAAACCACTGAAAAAGACTTATTTTCAACGTGCATTTAAATTCTTCAGGAACAGGTAAGCAGATTTGTCATTTTCATCACAGTGACTTAATACTCAAGGCCCTTAACAAATACAATTGGCTTATTCTGAAGCTATTTGTATAATTCTAATAAAAGTAATAATTACTGATTATTTATACGATATTAGTGTCTTTGGAAGTATCTAAGTGAATTTTTGATATGGGAGATTCCCAGGTGAGGTATTTGGATAGAACGTTTTGTGGCAGAGATAGGGAGAACAGGTTAAGGGTTTGCTATCCGGGAGATGAAATTGGTGATATTGTTAAAAAAATTAATGATATTATGGCTGGAAATGGGAACAAATGCATTATTTGTATCAGCACCAGTGGAAATGATGTAGGACGAGCTGGGAGTGAGTCATTGATACAGAGGTTAAAGACAGCCATAGAATTAGTTAGGAGTAAGGGAGGAATCCCAATCATATGTGGCATTTTTTCAAAAGAGGGAGTTTGAGATGAATGGTTGTCGAGGGCACTTGGTTTCAATTGCTTACTGGTAAAATATTGCAAATCAAATGCAATATCATTCATAGATAATTGGGAACACTTCTATGGAAGAAATAACATTTATGCTCAGGATTGGGTGCATCAATCTAGGAATAAAGGTTGATGCTGTGTCCTTTACGACTTTCCACGTCGAGGTCTTTTTAATATTGGTCTCCTCCTGCGTTTCTTCTCGATGTTTCAGCTGTCTTTGCTGAACAGTTACCTTTGTTCTTATGTTCTTATGATCATAATTACATTCTCTACAAAGACGAAGAATTAGGAGGATACATGATAGAGGCTGTGCAAGTGGATGATTGTACATAACAAAGTGGGATATTAATTGCCTATTAAATGTTTTAACACGAGACAGAGCACGAAACAATGTGTATAAATTGAATATGTTTAGATTTAGGAAAAGACCTGGGTAGATGCCGGTTCAATAACTGGGTTGAACATATTTCTTATGTTCAATATGAAATCTTAGCTAGAACATGATCTTAAAACATGGGAAACAGTAAGGTAATACCTCGTTAAGAAAAAGGAGCTCAATGACGCCATTGTACATTTGGCTTATCAGAAGGCGGTCTTTTAATCCCTGCTTGACATAAATTATGAAAATGGGACATAAATAAACTATAACAGAAAACGTACTTTTTCAAAAAAATGAAGATTGACTGACATCATTGATCATTAGCGATGTGTGTGCAGGGTCACCGGGGTAACGCAAAAGACACAAGACAGGGGCCGACCTTTTAATCCACTTGAACAAAATTTTCCATGTACTTGATGGCTAGCAATCACTCACTGGGGTAACGAAAATGGACCCGGATGGGAGGCGTCCTTTTAATCTCCTTGAGCAAAATCGCAGCGGTCAAGAGGGAACCTTTTAGTCCTCCTTTTTGGAATATTATATATGATCGAAGGGAGAGGATGATAAGTGTTACGATAAAATGAAAACATCCCCTACGCCATTCCTAGCCTGGCAGGAAAAAAATTGAAAATACCCCCGGGCTTATCCCCGACCGAGGTAAAAAAAAGATGAAAAAAAACAGGACCATAGACTGCCTGTTGTGTTTCACGGAAAAAAATCAGGGGCCATAGACCAGCTTGGGAGAAACATTCAAGAAAACCCAGGGGCCATAGAGCAACCCCTAAAAATATCAAAACGGTCACTCTATGGCCCGGTTTCCACTACTGACGCTACGCCTCAAAATCATCTCAAGATAACCTCTAGATATGGAGGGTCCTTCTTCCTAAGTTTTGTAGAACCTTTCCTAGCAAAACTAAAGCGTTAATCTCTTTTACAGTTTTGAAACGCCTTTTCCTTGATCACTTTTCTTCACACTCCAGCTCCATCTTCCTCTTCACAGATGGGTCTAAGTCTGCTGGCAGTGTAGGGTACGCCGTTGTTTTTCCTGACTGCACCTGTTTGTGTCGCCTTCCTTCACATCTTTACGGCAGAACTTTATGCTATTTTGTATGCTCTTCGTGAACTGCTTTCTCACTGCCATTCTTCCTTTGTTGTTGTGGTTGACTCTCCGAGTGTCGTCATGGCTCTGGAGTCCTTTAATCGTGTCTATCCTGTGGTCGCCGAAATTCAGTATCGGCTTATTTCCAGAAGATTTAAGATCGTCGAGATTTTCTGGGTTTCCAGCCATATTGGTGTTTCCTTAAACGAGCGTGCAGATGCTGCAGCTAAGGAGGCTATCCGCACTTGTCCTATTTTCTGCAAACGTTATTTCTTTATTTCGACTTCTACTCTGTTATTCAGTGCTCAATCCGTGCCCATTGGCAGGACCGCTGGTCTTTTGTTACTGGTAACAAGCTGCGTGCTCCTAATGGTAGTGTTCATATGATACCGAGATTCTTGGGAGAAGTCAGGGTTCCCTTTCCGTGCAGTGCAGCTCATCGCTGATTATGGAGTCGAGAAGACACTTGTGGGTGTTTACCCTGATATCTGCTTAAGGCCATCCATATGATAATGGGTAACATTGTTGATCTTACAGTTTAAGCTTTCTCTGATTCTATCTAGTTTCTTACTCTCGGAAATTAAAAAATAATCAAGCTACCGAAATTGATGGCAAATAAACTCTCTTGATAATTGAAGGGTATATTTTCTACAACGTTTCGTTCCACATAGGAACAACTTCAGGTAAGGAATAAATTTTTAAGGTTGTTGTTGTTTTAGATTAAGCTACTCAAAACGAAATGTCCATGTAGCATAGACTATGGTGAGCCCGTAACTAACATTTTTAAAATTGATTGTTGTTCTAGATTTAGCTACTCAGAACGAAGTGTCCATGTAGCACGGGCTATGGTGAGCCAGTTAATTTTTAAGGTGCAAATTTTTCTTAAATACACATGTGAAGGAGGTGAAGTTGTATGGGGGGTAAGGGTAAGAAATCACACATAGGTAAAGAAATATGGGAATAATGGGGATGAATGCCAATCAGACATTGGGAAAGGCGATAGGTGGAGAGAACTCTGTTGAGATGGTATCCAGTGCTGTATGGTGAGGTCTGGATTTGGTCTTGGAAAGGAAGTACACCGTCCATGTCTACGTGAGAACCCGAGACAACACTTTCACCACAGAAGTTTGTTCTAAACCTACCAACATTGGAATGTGTATGACTGTATAGTCATAGCGGCTTAGTGCTTTTCCCGATAATTACTTTACCTGGAATGTGTATGAATGGTCACTCTGAATTCCAGGACAGATATGAGACTAGTGTGATAAACTAATTTTAGTGTGATAAACTCTATGGATAAACAATGAGTAAGGGGCTCAACATTTAAATATGTTGAGCCATTACTCATTCTTCCAACTGGCATGACATCCACAAGGAACTGGACAGAAGCCTTCATGTATAAACCCGTTGTTACTTTGTTTAACAACGAGTACACGAATGGAAAAGTTAACACCCAAATCTGAAGATTTTTATAAAAATTGCGTACCAGAGAACAACAACTCCTCTCATAAAACTCTATTACAAATTTACACTGAGCTCACAATACAAAACTAAAGTGAGAATAATTAAAAATATAATTTAAAATGGAGTGAAACCGACATCTCCAGACTAAAGATTATAATTCATTATTTACTAAAAAATAAAAAGGACTGCTGATTTAATACTGAAGAACAGCCCCAATGAACACTGTAACTGTCTCCTAAAAGCAAACCGTGGTATACCAATTTATATTCCTCAATAAAGGTTGTCACCTTCGATCTACTTATATTGGTATGACCACCACAAAACTTTCGAGATGACTGACCTGTCATCTGCAAGCTGGTGTCCCTAGAAACTGTATACAACGTGTACATAACACAACACTCGCTAGGAGCACATTAGTAGATAATTCAACAATCCTGGCATTCATAATACTAGAAGCTATGTTCATAAAAGTATAAAGACCCACCCCTAAATATACGGAGTAATGACTTCGATTCCTTGTCTACGCTCAGATCAAGACCTCACATTCAGGACTGGATAAAGACAACTCAACCGTCCACCGCCTTATCCAATGATTGATTGACATCCATACCCATTATTCCCCTGTTTCTTTACTTATGTGTGATTACTTCACCTTCCCCCCCTTCCCCCCCCCCCCCCACCCGCCCCCCATGATACTTTTCTGATTGACAAGGAATTGTGCAGAAATATGCATTTGAAATTTTAGCAACGAACATGTCCTAATTATTGCATCTCTACCGGCAGGTTGGGATTCTGAAAAATATGAATAATTATTTAAGAAAAATCTTCCCAAAGCTGAGTCTGCCAGTTGAAGACCCGAAGTGCTTCCATGGGACCCCCTCACGAGATAATTTCTCCGCCCTCTACAGGAATCTTTCTGTCCGGAACTCTGCCAGCGGTAGAAATCTGGTTGACTCTAAGCTGCATCCCTATCTACTGAGTGAATCTGTCTATATTTACAATTACCCGTGTCCTTGGAACTTATTACTTCCACTACGAGACCAGCTTCGTCAGGAACTGGTTTTTCATGATGCAATTCTTAACAAAGCTAAAATGCATCTTAATCATGCCGTTAAAAGTCTTCTGAACAATGCTACGAAAAATATTACCATAATCACCGTGCACGTTCGAAGGACAGACTATTTAAATTACATAAAAGTCAACTATAAATTAAAACCACTGAAAAAGACTTATTTTCAACGTGCATTTAAATTCTTCAGGAACAGGTAAGCAGATTTGTCATTTTCATCACAGTGACTTAATACTCAAGGCCCTTAACAAATACAATTGGCTTATTCTGAAGCTGTATAATTCTAATAAAAGTAATAATTACTGATTATTTATACGATATTAGTGTCTTTGGAAGTATCTAAGTGAATTTTTGATATGAGAAATTCCCAGGTGAGGTGTTTGGATGGAACTTTTTGTGGCAGAGATAGGGAGAACAGGTTAAGGGTTTGCTATCCGGGAGATGAAATTGGTGATATTGTTAAAAACATGAATGATATTATGGCTGGAAATGGGAACAAACGCATTATTTGTATCAGCACCAGTGGAAATGATGTAGGACGAGCTGGGAGTGAGTCATTGATACAGAGGTTAAAGACAGCCATAGAATTAGTTAGGAGTAAGGGAGGAATCCCAATCATATGTGGCATTTTTTCAAAAGAGGGAGTTTGAGATGAATGGTTGTCGAGGGCACTTGGTTTCAATTGCTTACTGGTAAAATATTGCAAATCAAATGCAATATCATTCATAGATAATTGGGAACACTTCTATGGAAGAAATAACATATATGCTCAGGATTGGGTGCATCAATCTAGGAATAAAGGTTGATGCTGTTGCCAACTCGTTGGAACCTGTGATTGGAGGGGTATGTTTGGGTTTAAACTGTTAGTAGATAGTGGTATAGGAAATGATATGGAGAAAGGAAGTAATAGAATTATGTGTTTGTGGAGGGGAAACAAATTGGCAAAATGAACAGGGAAAGAGAAGTCACAAAATAACAACACATATAAGGTATATTACACGAACAGAAGGAGCCTAAGAAACAAAATAAACGATTTAAATACTCTTGTCTGTACAGGAAGAACAGATATTATTGCACTTACCAAAACATGGATGAATGTAGAAAAATAGAGAACTATTAGCTAAATTTTAAATAAACGGATTTAAGATATTTCACACAGATAGATATATTAGACGAGGAGGGGGACTAGCAATATACTTTAGGGAGAATTTGAAATATAGTCTCAAAGAGGGAATCAAAACTGAGCCACACAAACTATCTGGCTAGAAATGAACGAAAAAGCTAAAAATCTTATAATAGGAGTTATATATACAGTCCACCAAACTTACAAAGAATGGAAGCAAAGCATCTATGGGATGAAATATCTAGAGCATCTAGATCAAACAGTATTTGTGTCATGGGTGACATCAATTTTAGTGGAATAAGCTGGATTAACAGAACAGGGAATAATGAAGCAGAAGATTTTCTAGAATTATTTGACGATTGCTTTCTTAAGTAACACATTAAGGAACCAACGCAGAAAAATAATATCTTAGACTTAGTGTTAACTAACAGGGGAAACACAAATTAATGAAGTCGAAAGAGGGAGTGAGCTAGGGAACAGTGATGACAAAGAAATCAAATTTAGCGTAGAATGAAATAGATCCGTAGGTGAAAATTCTGTTGAAGTGCCAGATTTCCGAAAAGCTGAATTTAATAGTCTAAAAAAAATTGGGTGAAATAGATTGGATAGTCTCGGGCATGAGGGGTGGGCCAGTCTTGGAGCGAGATGTAAACTCAGCAATGGGTGACATAAAAAGAAATTTAGATGTGGAATCAAAATATAACTTATTTAAAGATATTCTAAGCTAAGCAGAGGAACGTAGTATACCATACAAATTGAATAGATCGAATACTAATGACCCGAGATGGCAAATAAAGGCTCTGAAGAACCTTATAGGTAGAAACAGAGCTTGGTACAAAATTATTAGAAATTGGGAAGCCAGTTTAGAACAAGAATTCGTACAACTAGTTAGAAATGTTGAAAAAGAGATAAGGAGGGCAAAAAGAAACTATAAATTTGCATAGAAAAATAATTAAAGACAAATCCTAAAGTTTTTTAAGTTATATCGAACAATGATTAGGAAAAAGATAGGTCCATTAAAAACTGAGACAGGTAAGATAATGGATAATGACGAAGAGATGAGAAGTATTTTTAATAAATATTTTATCTCTGTATTTACTAGAGAGGAACTTAACACTATGCCTTCAGCCGAACAAGTTTATGTGGCTGGGAGACGAGGACAGGTTGACTAGTTTAGCAGTTACCAAGGAGGATGTTATTAAACAAATAGTAAAACTCAAACCAAACAAATCCCCAGGGCCGGACGAAGTATTTGCCAGGGTGCTTAAAGAATGCAAAGATGAGCTTTGTGATCCATTGTCTAACATCTAAATAAATAAAAATGTAAATATTCGTTTGTTCGAAATCACTAATCTCCGAAAGTTCTTCACGGATTTCTTTGAAATTTTCACACAACTTTCCATTCGCATCCGAGCGAGTTTTATATACATATTATATAGATGTCACGTCTGGGATGGGAAAAAACATGTTTTTTTTTTAAATCTGTGTTTTTCATGTGAAGGAAATCTTCGAAACCTCTTTACCGATTGCTTAAAAATTTTGACACAACGTTGCATTCATATAGGCACGTGTTTTTATATACTTACCATATCTGCCATATGCCATATCTGTGAAAGGTAAAAACAGGCTTTTTTTTTTAAAATACACAGCGTCATATCATACACGTAATAGCACCACGCGCTGTACTAAATATATTATGATTCCATTTCAATGTTTCCAATTGCATTATTAAAATTAATTTTCCCAGATTGCGATTTATTTTAATTTTAATTTAATTATTTTGTGTGACACTGCATTGGAATTGAGCTGAGTTGTTTACCATACTGTTCATTTTGTGAGTATTGATGCCACACCTGTGACAGGTAAAAACATGCTTTTTTGAAAAACAGAGCCAACTGTTTGCACGTAAGAGCAACACACACTGTACTAAATATGTTACTAATTCCATTTCAATGTTTCTGAATTCATTGTTAAATTTCATAGAATTCGATTCATTTTCATTATTTTGTGTGACATTGCATTGCAATTGAGCTTTGTTGTTTACCATACCATTCATTTCGTGAGTATAGTTTATTTTTTCATTTTTTCCATTTCGTTTTTTAACTGTTTTTCTTATATTTCAGTGATGGGAACATCAGATCATTCGATGTTCCCAATTTTCGTGTGGGAACATCAGATCATTTGAGAATGCAACAGATGAGGGAGTGAGGAATGGTGGGGAGGAAGAGGGGACAGGAGTGGGGGATGGTGGAGAGGACGAGGGTTCAGAGTAACGGGTAATGGTGGGGAGGACGAGGGGACGGGGGAGTTGGGGATTGTGGGGACGAGGGGACAGGGAAATGGAGAATGGTGAAGAAAACAAGGGGACAGGGGAATGGGGGATGGTGGGGAGGGCAAGGGGATGGGGGAGGATAGGAATGGTAGGGAAGACGAGGAGACAGGGTAGTGGGAGATGGTGGGAAGGACGAAGGGATGGTGGAGTGGGGAATAGTTAGGAAGACGAGGGGACTGGGGGGGGGGGGATGAGGAGGAGGACTTGGAGACAGGGGAAGGTTGCTGTGGCCTGGTACAGCTAGTATTAAATAAATAATTACAGATAGGCAGAGTGCCAGAGTCATGGAAGGTTGCAAATGTGGTATCAATTTTTAAGAAAGGAGATATATCACTTGCGTCAAACTATCGGCCAATTACCCTAACGTCCATTGTGGAAAGTTACTTGAATCGATAATTGCAAATACAATTCGTCTTCATCTTGAAAATCATAAATAAATAAATGATTCACAATATGGTTCTACAAATTGCCGTTCATGAATAGTTAACAAGTGTTTTATAATTTTTTTCCTGCATAGTTGAGGCAGTTAATAGTGGTAAGATTTCTGATGTTCTGTACCTTCTTGACTTTAGCAAAGCTTTTAACATAAGAACATGAGAAGAAAGGTAACTGCTGAACTGTAACTGCTATTGGCCCATACGCAGCTGCTCCTATTTATAACCACCAAATCCCATGCATATACATGTCCAATCCACTCTTGAGACAATCAAGGGACCCCACCTCCACCACGCCACTGTTAACTGGTTCGACAAATCAACAAGCCAGTTACCGAACCAGTATTTACGCAGGTCTTTCCGAAATATAAACTTATCCAGTTTATACCCAATGTTTCGTGTTCTGTCTTGTGTTGATACTTTCAATACCATATTAATATCCCCTTTGTTGTGTTCGGTCATCCACTTGATAACCACTATCATGTCACCCCTAGCTCTTCGCCTTTCTGTGAATGCAATTTGGGCTTTGTTAATCTTTCATCATATGAGAGGTTTCTAATTTGGGAGATTAACTTTGTCATCATTCGCTGGACACATTCAAGTGAATTTATATCCATTCTGAAATATGGCGACCAAAACTGAACTGCATAATCTAAATGGGGCCTAATCAGAGCAAGATATAGCTGATGAACAACAATAGGTGTCTTGTTACTAACACTTCAATTAATAAATCCCAGTGTCCTAATTGCCCTATTACGAACATTTATGCATTGAATTTTTTGTTTTAAGTTCATACTAATTGTGACACCAGGATCCCTCATGCAATCCGACTTCGGATTCTCAACACCATATAGCTCGTATCTTGTAACTCTATCATCATTACCTAACATCAAAACCTCACACATGTCAGCATTAAACTGCATCTGCCAATTTGTGACAATTTTAAAACCCTATTTAGATCGCCTTGAAGTGATAGTGAGTATTTTTCGGTGTTTATTTCCCTCCCCATTTTTGTATCATAGGCAAATTTGCAAATGTTGCTACTCAATCCTGAATCTAAATCATTATATATATTATGAATAACGGAGGTCCCAGGACAGAGCCTTGATGAACTTTACTCACAACATTTTCCCTGTCCGACTTAACCCCATTTATAATAACTCTCTTTGCAAGCCACTGTCTACCATATTTAATAAATCAATAGTCAGGCAGAGTGCCAGAGTCATGGAAGGTTGCTAATGTGGTACCAATTTTTCAGGAAGGAGAAAGATCACTTGCATCAAACTATCGGCCAATTAGCTTAACGTCTATTGTGGGAGAAAGTTACATGAATCGATAATTGCAAATACAATTCGTCTTCATCTTGAAAAACATAAATTAATAAATGCTTCTCAACATGGTTTTACAAATGGTCTTTCATGTTTAACAAATTTGGTATATATTTATTCCAGCATAGTTGAGGCAGTTGATAGTGGTGACGATTGTGATGATGAAAGACTGATTAAAAAGATAGAGGCTCATGGTATTGGGGGTGTTATATTAAGTTGGATTTGGGTATGGCAATATCATGCCCTAATCCCTCCTCCTTTTTGCCCTCCTAATCTCGTTTTTAACATTTCTAACCAGTTGTTTGAATTCTTATTCTAAACTGACTTTCCCATTCTTAATCCTTTTGTACCAAGCTCTCTTTCTAACTAAAAGGTTCTTCAGATCCTTTGTTATACATTTCGGGTCATTAGTATTCGATCTATTCAATTTGTATGGTATACTACGTTCCTGTGTTTTGTTTAAAATATTTTTTAATTAGTTTTATTTTGAATCCATAACGAAATCCGTTTTTACATCACCCATTGCTGGGTTCAAGTCTCGCTCTGCGACCTCCCCCGTACCCAAGTCTTTCCAATCTATTTCACCCCAAAAATTTCTTAGGCTATTAAAATGATCTTTTCGAAAATTTGTCACTTAAACAAAATTTTCTCCTACAGATCTTTTCCATTCTTCGCTAAATCCAATTTCTTTGTGTTCATTGTTCCCTAGCTCACTCCCTATTTCGATGTCATTGATTTGTGTTTCCCTATTAATTAACACTAAATCTAAAATATTACTTTCCTGCGTTTGTTCCTTAATGTGTTGCATAAGAAAGCAATCGTCAATTAATTCAAGAAAATCTCCTGTTTCCCGTTCCCGAAAATTATTCCCCGTTCTGTTAAACCTGTTTATTCCACTATAATTGAAGTCACCCATGACAAAAAATACTGCTAGATAATACTGCCTTAGATAGTTCATCCCATAGATGCTTTGCTTCCATCCTGTCTAAGTTCGGTGGCCTGTATACAACTGGCCAGCTGTAAGATTATTTGATTTTTCGTTTAATTCTAGCCAAATAGTCTCTGTGTGTGGCTCAGTTTTGATTATCTGTATGAAATTATATATCAAATTTTCCCTAGCATATATGGCTACTCGCCCTCCTCGTCTAATATATCTATCTGCTTGAAATAGTTTAAATCCATTTATTTGATATTCAGCTAATAGATCTCTATTTTCTGCATTCATCCACGTTTCGGTAAATGCAAAAATATAATTTTTTTCAATGCAGACAAGAGCATTTAAATTGTTTATTTTGTTTTTTAGACTCCTACTGTTAGTGTAATATACCCTAAGTGTATTGATGTTTTGTGGCCCTTCTCTTTCCTCCATCATTTAGCTAATTTGTTTTCCCACAAACACACACTTTTATTACCTCCTTTTTCCATATCAGTTCTCATACCACTATCCACTAACAGTTTATAATCAAACAAACCCCTCCCAAAACAGGTTCCAACGAGTTTGCAACAGAAACAATCCCAGCCCTAGATAGATGCACCCCATCCTGAGCACACATGTCATTTCCTCCATAAAAGTGTTCCCAGTTATCTATGAAAGATATTGCATTTGATTTGCAATAGCTGTCCAGCCGGCAATTGACACCCAGTGCCCTCGAAAACCATTAATTTCAAACTCCCTTTTTTTGGAAGAATGCCACGTATGATCGGGATTCTTCTCTTGTGCCTAACTAATTCCATTGCTGTCTTAAACCTTTGTATCAGTGTCTCACTCCTAACTCTTCCAACATCATTTCCACCTGCACTGATACAAATAATGGGTTTGTTCACATTTTACACCATAATATAATTCATATTGTTAACAATATCACCAATTCCACGTTCCGGATAGCAAACCCTTATCCTGTATTTGTGCCCTTATTTCGGGCACAAATAGTTCTATCCAAATACCTCATTTGGAAATCTCCCACAACCAATATTCGCTTAGGTACTTCCTTTACTTTGTGAACAGCTTGAGGTACCTGTACTCCTTCGTTGCCATCCGTTTCGATCGAACTGCAGGCTCCTTACCGCATTCGTCCTCCAACACAACGAATAAGTTAGAAGTCCTTAGGACATCTGTAGGCGGAAGTATCAGTCTCCTTATACCCTTGTCCTTTAAGACATTCCAGGACAACAACGTTCTATTGGGGCTTTCCTCATTTGCTTCTTCTTGAGTTTTTTTCGTGTCTTATCCCCTGCATCTGCCGTAGCTCCTCCCGCAGGGAATCCACCTCTGCACTCAGAGATCCACGTAGATTCACCAGTTCCTTCACAACACCTTCCATTATTACTATGATAGTACAATCGGAGCTCCAGGTAGCACACCCTCACGCTGCGAATCCCTGCGCCTGACTAATGATTCCTCCCAATTTCGATGTCGTTAATTTGTGTTTCCCCGTAGTTAACGCTAAGTTTAAAATATTATTTCCTGTGTTGGTTCCTTAATATGTTGCTTAGGAAAGCAATCGCCAATTAATTTTAATTCAAGAAAATTTTCCGCTTCATTACTCCCTGTTTTGTTAATCCAGTTTAATCAACTAAAATTAAAGTCACCCAGGAAACAACTACGGTTTGACCTAGATGCTCAAGATATTTTTTCCCATAGATGCTTTGCTTCCATTCTGTCTAAGTTTGGTCGCCTTTATATATCTCCTATTATTAGATTTCTTGCGGTTTCGTTTAATTCTAGCCAAATAATTTCTGTGTGTGTCTCTGTTTTGATTCTCTCTTTGAGACTACATTTCAAATTTTCCTTAACATAATTGGCTTCTACTCCTTCTCGTCTAATATATTTATCTGTGTGAAATAGTTCAAATTCGTTTATTTGATAGTCAGCTAATAGGTCCTTGTTTTCTACATTCATCCACGTTTCGGTAAGTGCAATATTATCAATTGTTTCTGTGCAAACAAGAGAATTTAAATAGCTTATTTTGTTTCTTAGATTCTTACTGTTTGTGCAATATACCTTAAGTGCAGTGTTATTTTCAGGCCCTTCTCCTTCCCTGTTCCATTTGCCTTTTTTTCCCCACCAACATATATCTGTATTGCCTCCATTCTCTAATATCAATTCCCATATCACTATCTATTACCAGCTTAAACCGAAACAGACCCCTCCAACCAAAGTTTCCAACGAGTTGGCAACAGCAACAACTCCAGCCATAGATGAATGCACCCCATCCCGAGCATACATGTCATTCCTTCAATAAAAGTGTTCCTAGTTATCAATGAATGATATTGCATTTGATATGCAATATTTGTTCAGTCAGCAATTGACACTAAGTGCCCTCGACAATCATTCATATCCAACTCCATTTCTTGGAAGAATGCCACATATGATCAGGATTTCTTCCTTGCTCCTAATTAATTTTATGGCTGTCTTAAACCTCTGTATTAGTGCCTCACTGCTAACTTGTCCTACATCATTTCCACCTGCACTGATACAAATACTGGGTTTGTTCTCATTTCCAGACATAATATCATTCATGTTGTTTACTATATCACCAATTCCTGCTCTGGATATCAAACCCTCAACCTGTTCCCCCTATCTCTGGCACAAAATGCTCTATCCAAGTACCTCACCTGGGAATCTCCTACAAGCAAAATTCGCTTAGGTGTTTCCTTAACTCTGTGAGCACCTTGATGGACCTGCGCTCCCTTCGTTGCCTTGACTTTCGAGCGAACTGCAGCCTCCATACAACACTCGTCTTCCAGCAGGGTGAATGGGTTGGAAGTCTTTATGACATCTTTAGGCGGCTTTGTCAGAGTCTTCTTAAGACCCCCCTGTCCGTTACGACATTCCAAGGCGAAGACTTTATACTGCTGCTCTCCTCATGTGCTTCCCCTTGACGTTGTTTCGTCTGTCTTAGCTCCTGCATCTGTCGTAGCTCCTCCTGCAGGGAATTCAACTCTGCCCTTAGAGCTCCACATCGCTCCCTCACTTTCACCAGTTCACTCACTACACCTTCCATTTTCAGTATCAAGACAATTGGAGCTCCAATTAACACACCCTCTCTCTGAGACTGACTGCGCCTGAAACGAACTGCGTTATCTATGTGGTATAATAACATACCACATAGATAACATCATCCAGGATATCTTGTAATTATCTAATTATGGATATATCCTGGATATGTAATTATGATATGATCATATGTTACTGTAACTGCATCCTAAACTTTGCCGGCAAGAGTAATTCTGACGACATCAATTCACCTACCACAGGAGGACGCTGGGGCTGCCATATTGTGAACCCTCCACAGTTTGAGACACGTCTGTGCTCCTTGCCAGCTAAATATTTGCAATTTAAATAATACTAACGTTAATTCACAGAGAAATCACACTAACGTGTTATATATCAATGAAAAAGACAACTTAGAATATCAGTGAGAAAGTCAATGATAATATTTTCATAGATATTGATATTATATGAATATTTTGAATGTCATTTGCTTTTACACAAGCATGAACATTGAGGGTCACACACACTACCTTGGTTTTTATAACGGTTGAAAATCTCTTAATTATCGTGAAATTTTCTCTGGAATTGTTACTAAGCGTTTCCTATATGACATATGAGGCATTTTGGGAAAATCATTGAATTTTCTTGTTTTTCTAATCATTTCTCAATGGAAGGACAGAATGTCCTCCCAAAGACGTTTCCAATGTCAGTCATGTTATATTCACTATTCACAGTATGAGTAGTAAGTAAATGTTAATATGTTCGTGTCCCACAGAGTAGCGTCTCCGGTGTTCGCAGTGAGCAGTGACGACCCAGAATGGTGCAAAAACAATATCATGGACAAGGATGTTGTATTTGTTGGTAAGATTATTTGTTTTATTGGTGACTGTGGTGGTGGTAGGATGTAGGATTACAAGTTATTATACTCATCTAGTTGTGCTTGTGGGTGTTGAGCTTCGTCTTTCTGGTCCCGCTTCTCAACTAACAATCTGGTGTACAGATTCCTGAGCTTATGAGTTCCCCGCCAACATAATTAGGCGAGTACCGTCGGCAGACTTGGATCTAGCTGTGAATAGGGCAATGGAATATGAGTGCGAAGAGGAATGTTGAAGGAAAAGGCGTTTCATAACAATAGGAGGAGTAGACGTCTTTACTGTGAGGTCACAAAGTCCACCACACCTTCATCAGTGGACCGTCCCGGGGGACAAAGACGGAACGACACGAGGAGAAACATAATAAACACGAACCAATAAGCAAGTAATACATCTTTATAAAAAAAAAGGAAAGTGGTAATAGGGAATATATTATAGGGCCTATCGGAGGGGCAACATTCAAACATAGGCAATTCTCGTGGCGCAGTGTTAACACACTCGCCCTACTCTTCCCGAGCGATTGGCCCAGGTTCGTATCCTAGCCTGGGAGGATTGAGTAGGCATCAATCTTTAATTCTACACCTCAGTTCACCCAGCAGGGACTCGGTACCTGTTTGTTAAACGATTAGCGAATAGTATTCCAGGGAAAATTAGTATGTAAGGCTTACCGTGAGCTATAGGAAGGGAAAACTCAAATCCTGATAACAGGAATCAGAAGTCGTCTGATCCAGTACCCACAGATATTAACACCAAGTGAAATACCCTGCATGTCCACAAATCCGATAACATCTTTCTTATTTACCAACATACCAGGCATCAAAACACGCAAAACAAAATTTACATTCTAACTGGTCTCATTAATGTAATGAGACAAGGGCAATGTTAGCAGCTTTGACAAACTCGCACAAAGGACTATTATGGCATTGAGATATGGATACCAGAATTCAATCTTTTCAGATGTGATAGAAAACATAGGCTGCAGGATTGAGTCAGTATGTATATGAGACACACTCATCTGCTCAGAGCTGCTAAACACCACAAATGATAAGGTGGATGTGCCGATACTCAAAATAAAAGTTCTAAATAAGGTGACTGTCCTAGTATAAAGATCTCCAGATGCAAATTTCCAGCATTTTAAAGACCACCATACGTTAATAGAATAATGCTTTAAAAACCTTACAAACCCGGCCCCTAACATCATCTTTATTGGAGACTGCAACTTATGGCACCTATAAATAAAAAATTGAGGCAAATACAGTTATACCAGATATAATCCCTCGAAGCAGTTTAAGTGATCATTCACACGCAGATAACCTCGTGTAGATGTATGACAGTTGTGTGATTTGACTTAAACCATCAAATAGTAAAACCAACTAGGAAAGAAAACATTTTAGATCTTGAAAATCATTTTGAGGTAATGGAGTGACATGAAGGCAACCGTCTGGGAATTACCAGAACGCGAGTTCAAGTAACTCCATTGCCTCAAAATTATTTTCATCGATATAACATGTCATTGTGATTTCATTATGACCTTAGGTCTTATTTGTACAAACAACGATGAACTGACTAGGGACATAATGATTACAAATACGTGTTACTCAGATTACAACCTAATTAAACACGGTTTGATAATGGTCCAAGACTGACCGAAACGTCGTCGTTTCATCACTTTCTGACGTGTAGTTTGATCATCACCCTAATTAAACTTCAGACATGCACGGCAATGTATTTGTGCAGCCGGTCTTAAATCAAAGAGGAGGAGAATTCACTAAATTAAATTTTAATAACAAACAAATTAACTGGAAACAAATAAACCAACCCCTCACAGAAATAGACTGCGAAAGACAGGTAGATAATGCAAACCTAAATCAGTGCCTTGAGAAAATAAGTATAGTAGCACTAGACATATGTGCAAGCCAAATACCACTAAGAAAAAAGTTAAAGATATGCAAACTGGAATGCAAACGGCGTTCCCTTTATAGGTGACGAAAACAAATTGCAGATCATCTTAAAAGCTCCAATCAGTCTCAAGAATGACAAAGAAGGCTATGTAGAGAAACAAATGATTGAGCTAACGTTGCATGAATCCCATAAAATCCAGGAGAGAAAAGAGTAAAGGCCAAAAGCGAAATAGAGAGAAATCCAAAATACTTTTTCTCCTATGCAAATTCTCGAAGAAAATTTACATCCTGCATTGGGTTCTTCAGCAAGGGCGATGGAACATTCACAGATGACAACAACAAAAATGAGTGAAATACGGAAGCAACGGCACGATTCTGTTTTTAGTGAACCCCTGAACACATTGCAGATCAATGATCCAAACGAATTCCTTATGAATGTGGCACAATCATCGAGCCATATATCAGATGTGACCCTAACCCAACTCGACTTTGAAGTAACCATAGAGAGAGAGAAAGCCTGTGCACACTGCACCAGGCCAGACTCCCCCTCCTCCTCCATCCAACCCGTTCTCCTTCCATCTTCCTCGTCTATCCCCTCCTCCTCATAACCCTTCTCTTACCCCTCCTCCTCCTGCTCCTCTTCTTAACCCTCCCCCTCTTACCTTTACTACTGTTACCCCCGACTATACTTTCCCCTTCCTCCTCCCCTTCCTCTTCTCCTCCGTCACTTAATATCCCCTCACCGACCTATACTCCTCCTTAATTCCTACTCGACCTCCTCCTCCCACTCTTCTTCCTCCTCCTTAGCCCTTGGCTAACCTTCTCCTTCCTCCTGAATCTCCTCCTCGTACTCCTCCTCCGACCTCCACTACCACCACCACCTCTTTCACAACCTTCACTACCACCACCACCCACACTAAAACCACCAACACACACTACCACCATAACCACACACTACAACCACCTCCACACACTACCACCACAACTACACACTACCACCACCATCACACACTACCACCACCGCCACAACCACACTCTACCACCCCACACTACCACCACCACACATTACCACCACCATCACACACTACCACCACCACCACACACTACCACCACCGACCACCACACACTATCACCACCACCACACACTACCACCACCACTACACACTACAACTACCACCACACACTACCACCACCACTACCCACTTCCACCACCACTACACACTACAACTACCACCACACACTACCCCCACCACCACCACACACTACCACCATCACCACACACTTCTACCACCACCACACACTACAACCACCACACACTACCACCACACATTATCACCACCATCACACACTACCATCACCACCACACACTACCACCACCTCCACACACTGCAACCACCACCGCACACTACCACCATCACCACACCACTACCTCCACACACTACCACACTCTACCACCACCACTACCACCACACACTACCACTAACACACACTACCACTAACACACACTACCACCTCCACACATTACCACCACCACCTAAACACACTACTACCATCGCCACACACTACCATCAAACACACACACTACAACTACCACACACTACCACCACCTCCACACACTACCACTACCACAACTACCACACACTACCACCACACACTTCCACCACCACTCCAAAAGACACACTTCTACACCACACCACCACCCACACACCACCACTGCACACTATCACTACCACAATACAGGGGGACCTGTGGCTGAGTGGACAGCATTCGTGATTCTATGGTCCCGGGTTCGATTCCCGGCGCCGGCGAGAAACAATGGGCAGAGTTTTTTTCACCCTGATGCCCCTGTTACCTAGCAGTAAATAGGTACCTGGGAGTTAGTCAGCTGTCACGGGCTGCTTCCTGTGTGTGTGTGTGTGTGTGTGTGTGTGTGTGTGTGTGTGTGTGTGTGTGTGTGTGTGTGTGTGTGTGTGTGTGTGTGTGTGTGTGTGTGTGTGAAAAAAATAGTAGTTAGTAATAGTTGACTGACAGTTGAGAGTCGGGCCGAAAGAGCAGAGCTCAATCCCCGCAAGCACAACTAGGTGAATACAACTAGACGAGTACACTACACACACACACTACCTCTACCATACTACACCCCACATTACCTCTACCACACTACACCACACCGCCACTACCACACAACCTCTTCCACACTCCACACAACACCTCACACTCCACAACATCACACACCACCATTACCTCACCACACTACCACACCACCCCACCACACTACCTCATCACCAAACTACCACACCACACTTCCAAAACCACACTACCAGCACACCATATTACCGGAATTATTTGCTGGAATTAAGGAGAGACACGGGAGAAAAGAGGACAGAAGGTACTCTTAGAGTGTGTGTGTGGGTGCCTGGGGAGCATCCCTCCTTCTTGCCCGAAAGCAAAGGAGAGTTTTCAGTATTGTTTATGTATTAGCAGCATTATGGGTTATTCATTTATGAATTAGAATAACAATATTAAATCATTTAGTTCTCTAAGAACTTGTTAATTTATTTTAATTATATAGCATAAGGCACAATACTACAGGAACTGACTGCATCAAAGCAATGAAGGAGTTGCAGGAGGAACAGAGAGTTTTGATGAATGAAATTATAGACCTAAAAAAGTTAGATGTCGGAAAGTTAGGTAGGCCGGAAACACATATGGTAAGAATAACCATTGCAAATTTTAAACACAGAAGGAAGATAGTCAGCAATGCCCATAAGCACAAAGATCTCGAGAGATATAACGAAGTATACCAGACCTCACTATTGAGCAAGAAAAAATGACCGGGTGCTACGGGGCAAACAGAAAGAGTTAAAAAATACAGAACGATACACAAATGCACAGCTAAAGATCAAGAGAGGGTAGGGGATCCCGATGGCAGATGGTGGAGAGGTCATAGTCCTTTACCAAGCCGGGCACAACTAAATCTATATATCTCGGACAACAAACAGGTTCAGAGCCAGAGCGACAATTTAGTCACACGCACAAATATTTGAAGGAGGTTAAGATAATTTAGGGGTATACCCATAACATGCGACAT